TGGATTATTCCTAGGCTGTTTGTGGATTATTTCTGGGTTGTTTGTGGATTATTTCTGGGTTGTTTGTGGATTATTTCTATGGATTATTTCACTCCAACCTAAATGTGGATCTGCTGATGAATAAATTCAATTCTTTTGACGTCATAAAGCTGCGAGTTCCCGTTGGTTGACTAGATAATTGGTTTTTTGACAAATGTGCGACACTTTTCCTCAGAATACGATCATTTTCTGTCTCTGGTCAGATAATCGCTGCACTGCTTCATTCTGCAGTGAAGGAGCTCAGAAATGAGCGGAATGGATCCAAATGGACCGAACTTTATTTCCTTCACCGTGGAAATGACCCAGTCAGCTGGTTCCGTCCTCATATCGGACGGTTCTGTTCGCTGGGTTCCCCGCCCTCATCATCATCATCATCATCATCATCATCATCACCACCCAAACACAGTTAGCTACCTGACAGGCGTCCTCGCGCACACAGAGCTCAGTGACCTCCCCACGAACACAGCGGCGGCTGTCAGAAAGCTGAAAGGCGCCATGTTGGATTCCCGCCTCCAGTCGGGACGGTGACCGGAAGCGATTAAGTTCTAAATAAACTTCTAGATTCCAGCTCCTCTCACGCCGCTGCAGCACAGTCTGCACCGACCTCCAACCTGCAGCATCAACGCGCCCACAGCGCCCCGCGATGCATTGTGGGTAATGGTCCTCTTTGAATTCTACGCATTAAAGAGTCATTACCGCCCCCTGGTGTCCGGGGGGACGAGTCAGATCCGGCAGAAACACCACCTCCTCCTGGTACTTTTTTATTTTTTATTGAAGAATCAAAGTATTACAAAGCATATCAAAACAATTATACAAAGTTGTAACTTGAATATCTTAAGAAGCTAAGCAGAGTATGTATAATATAACAAATAGAATCATACAGAGAACCTATATACAATTAGAAAACAAAAGTAACACATTATAGAACAAAGTAATTAAATAATAAAAATCAACAACAAAAGGACTCTCACTTTAGATATTTAGAGATGGGGTAGTTTTTTGAAATCGACACTTATGTATGAAATATTTGGATTACAAAAAACACATTTTATTATATCAAAATTTAAAAGTGGTAAAGAAGTCTTTCGTAAGATCCAAGTTTGAAAAACCTTCCAAAAAATATTTATGATATCGCACTGAAAAAAAAGATGTTCTGCTGTTTCAATATCTGAAACACAAAATACACAAAAGTTGGTAGTTATGTTAAATTTTCTATGTAAAACATAATTACAGGGGTAAATGTTGCACATAATTTTGAAATGGATTTCCTTTACTTTCTGTGGAAGAGGAAATGAAAGAGACCTGGTTCCAATTTTCTTTAAATAGGTATCATCATTCTTTTTGAACAAATGTTTTCTCCTCAAGGTTGATGGAAAAACTATTGATGTCAAGGTGGTTCTTATAAATCTATTAGTAGATTTTTTTGTCAATAAGATCAAAACCATTTATAGTTAAAGATGATTATTTTAGAGCAATTGTTGAATATGTTTTTGTACCTTTAATTAGTAGCACCATAACAGGGGGAATTGCCTTTACAGTTGTATTAAATTTAGTTTCTGGACATGTTATTTTGTATTTTTTGATAAAAGCATAAAGTTTCCATCAACTTCCATGCGGTGTAGAATAGACCAGATACCTTTGTCCATCCAATCTTTGTAAAAGAATGATTTTTGTTTAATAGGATACATCTGTTGTTCCAAATTGGGACAGAATGAGGTGAAAAATTATGTTTAAAAATAAGTTTCCAATATATCAGAGCCTGTTTATGGAAGTCTGATAGTTTTATCGGTAACTTGGAGATTTCAAAGTCACATCTCATCAGGAATGTGACTCCACCAAAAGCATGAAAAATCTTGCAGGGAAAATTATGCCAGAAACTTTCATAATTTTTTATGAAGCCCTGAAGCCATCTGAGTCTGATGGTACCATTCATTGGGTCAAAATCGATCATATTCAAACCTCCTTCTTCTAAAGACGTAACAACATCAGATCTCCTTATATAATGGC